TTCTCCCCACTTCTACAATTTTTATTAACACCATCCAATCAGGAGCAAAACCTTGTTTTCATCATTATTATCGTTTTACGTACAACATTTTTTCTGACACTTTTTTCAATATTGGTTTCGAATTTCTTCTCACACCATTAACCAAATCACGGCCACGATTCGAATTCAGACTCGTTAGCTCGACAGTTAAGCTAAAACCCACTGAATCACCAAAATATTTACACAGTGAAAGCAAATCCAATCCGCGAACAACCGACCGAGAGACCGCAGACATGCGCGTACGCATAAACACGGAAACAGTTATTACATGATCGCTAACGTAAGCATAGTATTTAATAATACTAGTTACAATGCGGTTACATTGCTTTATTAGGTAGTTATTTGATTTTGTTTAGGTAAATTGTATAAGTTACTTAACATGAAGACACGCTAAAACCTCTTTAAACCTCCCCCCTATTTAAGGAGAAAAACCCCCACTTTCGCCTGCCCAGGATGAGAAGGGTCAGGCTCTTAGTGACTAGAAACTGTTCCTACCCTGTTCCTTCTCCTGCTCAGGCCGAGGCTGCTGTATCTTACATAGCTTGTACCTGCAACCCTGGACGTTTTTGAACCAACAATGAAAACTCTGTTTGCTTTAGATACGGGTAGCGGCTTCTTGCTGCCTTTTTTTACGAGCTTACGTATTACCTGATAGTAAGCAATCAGCGCCGCCCATAGACATCCGCAACGTTGCCGTTTGGGGACTAGGGATTTGGAGATTTAGGGATTGGGGCAGAGTAAGGTTTGCTCCGGTAACCTCATTCACACGGCGAAACACAACGCTGTGGTTATTTCACGCCGGTTTTCTGCGAGGCTGTGGTATCACTTCGGTCGAGCCAACCCATTTGTGCCGAAACATGGCTCTCCCTCATTTAAATATGTATTATAGAAATATTTAAGTTTCTCTGATTTGATTGTAATGTTTGAAAATGTTGAAAAAGAATAATGGATATGTATTATATTTTCGATTACATATGAACATCTAGTTTCAGCGATACATAATATTTATATAGTTTTCTCATTCAGTACACCTGTATTTTCAGGCCTTGATTATATTTAAACTACTTAATCTTTAAAAATCAGCAAATTGTTTGAGAGTCAGAAAATGATAATCCCACTGAAGAACTAACAGTTTGGTCTATACGCAGTTTGGTGGATTTATAAATTGTAAAACTACTACTTAATACTTTACTACTTTTACATATTATCATGAAATGTTTGTATATACAGCTATGTTACATACATATATAGCTACACTATGTATGTATATCTGTATGTCGGTAATCGATTAGTTCAAGTATGGTTGAGATTATATCTCCCTGTTCATGTAGCCTCTTTAGCTCAGTGGTAGAGCACTGGTCTCGTAAACCAGGGGTCGTGAGTTCAATCCTCACAGGAGGCACTACAGAGTACAAAAGAGATTTTCATTTTGAGTGTTTTTCATGTTTTGTTTTTGAGAATATGTCTACTGGTAAGTTTTAAACTAAATTTTTTTAAGAGTAACGATGGAGATTCTTACTTTTCGTTTTTTCAAAATTTTAGAACGAGCAATTGACTTCACTAAAGGATTATTTTCTCAATAAATGTGTTTGACTTTTGACTTTTACTTTCTTTGATTTATGGTTATAAATTGAGCATGACCTTTTTTAAGCTTTGATTTAGCTCAAGGCGTACTATGAGAAATATAATGATATTAAAAATTATGTATGGACAGAGAAGTACCAATAGCTCCTAACTTAAATTTTTCTAAAGACTCACTTTTTTAAATTTTATAATAAATGCCAATATATCTTTGGTATTTGGTCTTGTTGGGAGGTGATTTATAAGAATGCTGGTGTAAATAAATAAAAATATGAGAAGAATTCTCTTTTATTTATTTATTGGTATACCAACAGCACACATATTATAAACTATATACTAGTAATAAATACAACAACCAAAGACCAAATAAGCATGCCTATAACAGGTTCACACAGCGTTCATACATAGACTACTTAATTATTTAAGAGAAGAAGAAAAGAGAGTAATCTACTAATAATAAGATGTATAATATTGACAACATTAAATAATCAATAATAGCGAAATAAAAAAAATATCAGTTAGAAGTCTGAAGTACTCATATTAATTTTTCGATTTTAATTTGGACAGAAATTTAAATTAATTTTAAAAACTAAATTAAACTGTGTTAACGAAAGATTTTAGACACTTGAAAGAGGGTGCATTTTGCATAAAATTAATGCTTATGAATAGAACTGATTATTTGTACAATAGAAGTAAGTTATAGTTATAATTAATATAGTATTTTTTCAGTGCCAGATTATAACACTTATCCATTTAAGCATTATTATTTTGATACTGATTAAGGTTATGGTGATTTAGGGATTGGAGCTGCAGCAACCTCACTTACACGGCGAAACAAAACTCAGTGGCTGTTTCACACTAATTTTCTTAGAAGCCGTGGTATCACTCCTGTTAATAGTAATTATTGAACAATTTCCGAAAAACAGAAGATGCCAATTCATTTTTTATAGTATCATAGAATGATTTGAGCCTTGAGGCTGATGGTTAGTATTTGGCTCTGATAAAAGACCTCTCATCGCAATACCAGGAGAGTAACAAGAAGGCCTTTGAAACGGTCAATAACCTTTGAAAAATCTTGACAGTTCCTTCGTGTTGAATATAGTTATCGTAAATAGTTTGTTTTACAGCAATTTGCTGAAATATCATCTGTCAAATTTATAGAGGAGTGCAATTAATTTCAGATTACTGAAGCCTCTTTAGCTCAGTGGTAGAGCACTGGTCTTGTAAACCAGGGGTCGTGAGTTCAATCCTCACAGGAGGCAATAAGCAGGAATCTTTTTAACACTGATTTTTGTTAACAACCAGAGGATACTTTTTTAAAGTTATTTTGTTAAATTGTCTAAACTTTTTTTGGTGTCTTGTAATAATTTGTGTATTTTTTTAATAAGTGAAATTAGTGAGTGTTTTATATTTTTTGATAATTTTATTGGTTACCACAGAATGAAGTAAATAATTATATTTTCAGTTAGTCTTGTAGCTGGTTTCATGACAATAACACCTTACAACAACTTTGTTTAAGGAGTTTTTTTTATGTAATAGATCGGCAAACGAGCATGCAGATTACCTGATGGTAAGCAATCAGCGCCGCCCATGGACACCCGCAATGGAGGAGTTACGAGTGCGTTGCAGACCTTTTAGGGATTAGGGATTTGGAGATTTAGGGATTGATGAGGGATTGGGGGTGGGGAAAGATTAGGCCTCCGGTAACCTTACTCACACGGCGAAACGCAACGCTGTGGTTATTTCACGCCGGTTTTTCTATGAGGCCGTGGTATCACTCCGGTCGAGCCAACCCATTCGTGCCGAAGCATGGCCCTCCCACATTTTGAGTCAGGTTTTGAATTTTGAATGTTATTTTCACCTACTTTCAATTTGAAATATTAAAACTGGCTCAATGGTTTAGAACTATACTAAAGATAAACTTATTTTGTAATAAGGCCTTATGGGTCTACACATCAGGGATTCAGGTGTACCTAATCACAATAATGTGCTGCGGCATGGCTTGTAGCAGGAGTATGAACGGGATGGTTTTTAGTCAGTAAGAGTCTGTCATACTTGTCTCATCCAGGGTGAAAGAAGTCACTGGATGGTTTTCTCATCATAAACAAGGGTAGGCAGTATCGGTCTTCTAACTACCTGGGTTTTTTTCTATCAGGGTCCTAGCTCCCCAGAAGAAGAGGAAGTTAGTTAGTGTTTTATACATTTAGGTTGGGACAGCAAACGAGCTGATGGATTACTTGATGGTAAGCAATCGATGCTGCCCAAGTCCGTAGCCAGCATTTTGAGAGGTATACGGATAAGGGATTTAATACTTCTCGATTTCAAGAATGGTGTGAATTTATGAATTATTGTAGTAATAAAAATGATGGACTTTTAATCCTAGCTTTATAGCTAGGATATTAGTTTTAGTTAGGTATTAATTTAGATATTACTTATTTAATCCTAGCTTTATAGCTAGGATATTACTAGTTTTTTAATCACTTTATTCTGATTGTAGGTACTTTTAATCCTAGCTTTATAGCTAGGATTAAAGTGTGTAGTATAAAGTATAATGGTGTGAGGGAGGGATTCGGAGGCCCAATCATCCCTCACTAAAACCAATTTAAATGTTTTTATGTTCTTTTGTACTGCTTTAATAAAACATATTTTTGAGATTTTTACTAGCACCTACTGCTTTAATAAAAATAAAAAAATGAGTAATTTAATATAAAGTATTTTATGGTAAAAAATGGGTCATCGGAAATAAAATCCGGTTACATGATTATGACGAGACGGTTACCACAAAAGAGATTGTCATTTTTTTATCGAAAAAAAAAAGAAATAAACAAAAATGAAAGTTTCCGTAAACCGAACAATAAGTTCAATAAAGAAAAAAAAAGAACTTGTGTTTGAGGTGTAGGTAAGTATAACAAAACGTAATAAATTTATTATGTAGCCGAAATGTTTTATAATAATATTAAATCTTGTTTAAGACTATATCAATGTACCTATATGAAGTTAAATAAATAACTAACGACGCCTTGAAACTAAATTTCTCTACTATTGAACTTTCCTATCTAATCCTCTATCTATTAATCAAAAAGCATCACAATTCGTTGCATAGTTTTAAAGATTTAGGCATACAAACGGATAAAAGGACAGATAAAGAATCTTTGTGAATGCTATGTAGTGAGAGTAAATATACTATGTAGTGATAATAAATAGTGAGTACAGTATGAGAATAAATACCAAATAAATTAGATGCGTCTATTGAGCTTAAAAATATTTTGAACTTGACTGACTGTGACGAACGAAACAAACGCATAACTTCTAAACGGTGAAAGAGTGCGGTAATAGTAAATGAAAAAAAAAAGTACAAAATAAAAAAAAAATAAACTTACGTAAACTGTTACCACTGTCGGCTCCCACGAAACTCGTCAAAAATACCACAAGCAATAATGAATCAAACATTTTTAATTTTTTATTTACAATTTAGTTTTAATTTACAATTTTTATTATTTTTCACTATCAGCAACACATTCGCGGTTTAAAAACGAAAGTGACAGTACACGCGCATGCGCGGTAGAGCAACTGAGGCGCGCGCGAACAACCCGCCATATTTATTCGCGAGCGCGGGAAACATTTCGAAATATGATTGCTTCTCAATAATTGTTGTAATTTTCCATGGTGGATGAATATAAGAACACACTCTTAAGGATTTGGCTCTTGACGTTCAAGTTTTAATGATTGCAATATTGACAAGGAACATTGCTGAGTTATATTTGTAATATTTTTTTAGAATATAGATAGATTTATGTTAACATTCTAGCACAATCGCGGATTTACTCGAAATATTGACCGGCCATGAATTATTCATATGTCAACAAGCGGTTTGTCAAAATATGCTGCAATTTTTGGCAATAGATAATTTAGTAGTAACTGCTTTAAATAAATATGTATTTCACGTGTCGAGTGGATAATTCTTGCGATGATATCTATATAAATTTTTTTCGTGTGCCGAAGAACTGGAATTAACCATTTAATAATATTTACGGGAAACCCTGCACAAAAACTAAGCCATGCGAAAATATGACACCCTTTTTTTGTGAGGGGAAAATCATCAAATAATCTCCCGCCCAGGGCCGGGCGGGAGGGAGTGTCAGACTCTTACTGACTAAAAACCCCCCTGTTCCTTCTTCTGCTCTGGGTCGAGGTCGCGGTGCCTCATTGCGCTTACCCCGCAACCCCGGCTGAACATCAGCCCTTTGGCCAATAGATATCTATTGGCCCTATAGACCACCACAGACGGGGGTCTGTGGTCTATTGGCTCTTTGAGGCGCGCGCGGAACGTTACGCGCCTTACGCTCGGGCCTGGTTCTGGACGGGCGGCGAGCTGCTCTTACTCGCCGACCGCAGACCCGTGCAAATATGACACCCTATGAAACTAATTTGACTTCTATACAATGCTTACTAAATAATCGAGTTACAGACATATTTTCGTATTTTTTTTATGAGTGCAAGGTTGGCGCAACTGGCTGCCGCGGGTTCGATTCCCGCACGAAACGAAAAAAAAACGAAAATTGTTGTTCCAGGTCTGGGTGTGTTTTGTATGTTTGAAAACGCACTCGCGACACAGGAGAAAATCCTCAAGTATGATAACGTTTTATATATTTTCACTGAAGTTTGGGATAGAAATTAAAAAATAATTTTGAACCTACACCCAAAAACTGTACCAAATCCGCTTACACAAAAATAGTTGTTGTCGAACCTTACGTTGCAGTCGGTTGCCCAGTCACCGCACCAACCCTGCAGTCAATGTAGCCGTTGTGTTAAAATGTAATTTGTTAGATTTTTATTTATTCGATTACTTCTAATCCCACGTACAGTAAAAGGAACCCCGTTTAGCAGGGATCCGTCGCCTTGGACTAGTTTAGATCTAAATTACTTCAAAATAACCCACGTTAACCTACCTAAGGTGGCTTAGAAAGCGTTTAAAAGACGTAGTAATTTAGAATACGTAAATACGTAGCATTTTTGGGATAAATAATGTCTTTAGTAAATAGTTTGTTTAATTAGTACTCACTCAACATTGTAATTAAGTTTCTACCAAAACTGATCTAAAATTTAAGATTAATATCGGCTGCAGGTACCTACTGTTCACAATAGCACAGGTAAGGTTCAATACTATATCTTTAGGTAGCGATAGGAGAAGAACTGGACCAAGACATGATCCGGACTTATACGATTATAAATTAAGGTAATAATAAAAATAATTGGGAAGAACAAAGTTTATTGAGAACAAAATAAATATACACTGAATTCTGTATTATAGAAGAAAACAAAAATACCTTTTCAATCACATCTCAAAATTCAGTTCCCAAAGTCATGGATTAATATCATGGAACAATATCAATTTGAAGAACCCAATGAATGACAAGAAGAACTTCAAAATTTTCTCAAATTATTATTATGTCATCGCCCTTGATCTCTTGGTAACTGAATTTGCTGCTATCCTGGTATTCTTGATACCCTTTCTGATATTTCAAAGCTAAAGAATTGTCTGGTAAATTTCTTTTGAAAATAGAATTACCATCAGCAGTCAGTTTTACTATTCCAAAGTAAACATACTCATTGTCCTGTCTATTCTCTTTTCTTCTCTCTTCAATGATAAGAGACTCCTTAACTGGAAGCAGAAGCAGCATATCCTGGGCGTCTCCTGAACCTAGTTTAACCTTCGCTTGGATAGTTCCATTAATTTTGTCTCCTGACGATTCCTGTTTAACATCCATTGGCAACTGGCACTCCACACAACGAACCTTATTGTTATAATCAGTGTTCAATGGAATGGGAAATAATCGTTCGTTCAAATAAAATCTGTAGACGCATTTGTGGTCTTTCAAACTCGTGGCGCTTACTCTAGATTTTATTCTGGATTTAGCCGAATGACACTCGAAGTAGTTTTTCTGACGAAATTCTTTAAGTTTCTTAATATTGTCTTCGTTATTCGTGTCTATGTATGTCACATCTTCGTCGGAGTCAGAAAATATTCTGAATATTGAGCCTTGGGACAGCGCTGCGTGCATCTCAGATACTTCTCTTATTGTTTCCAGAGAAGCATTCTTTTTTGTATTATTACTTGTATCGTGTGTGGATTCTTCGTATACGTGGAAATTCTCGTTCTTGTAATACTGTTGGACTGGTTTCGATAGTTTCCTGGTAGCTTTTTTCACATTATTGTCATTTCTCACACACTTCAGGTTTGCAGCACTTAGGATGGAAACGATCTTCTCTTGAGACTCGCTGTTACTTTTACCATCACCGCACTTGTGGCAGAAGTCTGCAACATTGTGCTGGTACTTGTTGGTGACTGTAGGATCAGATTTGGTCATTTTCTTAGGTTTCGCAGCGCATGTACTGTTGATCCCGCTCGAACAACTTTTGCTCTCCGCACAAACAATCGGTTTCTTTGACGTGATAATTTTCTTGGGCGCATGTCTGTAGGTTCTTTCACTTTTATGGTTTGTTCCTTTATAAATCCTCGTGGTGATGTCAGATGGGTGCTTGAGAGCGAAACTTGTTACTTTTGTGGACATAATAACGAAAATATACACATATCTGGTTCAAATCTACCGTTGACAATGTTTCAGTGAATTGTTGTCATAAAATAGTACGGACCGCGTTGCTATGGTTACGCGACCACAACAACGTTAGGTTTTTTCTCGTTAAATTATGTAGATAACTGTATAGTATTTGACATAAAGTTTATTACAAATAAACTAAACTAAATTTGTTTTGATTTGTAATTGACGAAATGAATGAATTATTTATGCAGCTTACAACTCATCATGCACTTCTGCCATCTAGCGGTGAATAGTAAAACTTAAACTAATGAAAAGTTTATCAAATTTTTACATAGATGGCGCTCATCTGTCTGTGTTGAAATAAGCTCAATGTTTTTAACTAGACAATATAACAGTATCTTAAAGTCTAGTTATGTTTAGTAATTATGCGGTAAATCGGAAAAAACTCCGATAAAAAATAAATCTGGCATTAAATTGAGACTTTTCTTACTCTCACAGTAAAACACAACGCAAGCACTGTTTCATGGAAATTTTCTGTGAAGCCGAGGCACCACCCAGGCACTGGTTTAAAAACTTAAAAAAGTAATAGATTTCAATAGAAAAAAAACCAAAGTCTAATAGAAGTTTAAAAGTAAGGTGGTAGAAATAAATGTTACAACTTAAGTACCCAACATCTTTAAAGTATTTTTTCATAAGTTACGCATCCTTAATTAATATATCCAAAAAGTTTATATAGAAGCACTCTTAAAGATTGTGAGTACGCATATGTGAGCGCCATGTTCGAGACGACAAAGGAGTAAAATATTATAGGTCCCCTCATTTTTTCTTTTTTTTTAACAACTTGTCTCTGTATTGTTCTCACATAGGGATACAGGTACAATAATGTGTACTATAAATGTTATATTATTGAAATTGTAAAACATTTTTTTTTTAAAGTGTGGACGTAGTTTCTTTCTCGTTCTTCTCCATTCGAATCTACAATTTGGAATGAGCACCTAGCTTCACTGACGAACAGACTAACAGACTACTTATCTATTTTGACGTTTCAAAAGTACCTATTTATGGTTTAGTTGGAATAAATGATTTTGACTTGACTTTAACTTTAGGATTGTCTCCTGTGTTTTATTTATTTCATAGGTCGGCAAACGAGCAGACGGATTACCTGATGGTAAGCAATCAGCGCCGCCCATGGACACTCGCAACGGAGGAGTTACGAGTGCGTTGCCGACCTTTTAGGGATTAGGGATTTGGAGATTAAGGGATTGACGAGGGATTGGGGGAGGGAAGGATTGGGCCTCCGGTAACCTCACTCACACGGCGAAACACAACATTGTGGTTATTTCACGCCGGTTTTCTGTGAGGCCGTGGTATCACTCCGGTCGAGCCGACCCATTCGTGCCGAAGCATGGCTCTCTCACACTTAAAATCGGTGTGGATCCGTTTACAAACATAACATTTCATATACTCATCAGATAGACCCGGAGCAACTAAGTACCTATTTGTAAATCACAAAAAGAGTTTTTCCGTGCAGGATCGAACCCGTGACACGTTGCACGGCTGCCGATTGCCCATTATTTACAAATAAGAATAATTTTCTTTGTATTATAGCATTTATTTTAAAGTTTACTAAATGAAAAAAGTTGGGAAGCAATAAAATTGTAAACTTACAATATCAGTGGAACGAGACGAGACGAGCGTAATAAATTTGAGTAAGTGAGTGAGTTTGAGTGAGTGAGTAAGTTTTAGTGTTTCGGACGAAACTTGCAAATGTCTGTTGTCTGAACTACTCACTCAGCTCAGAGTTATTCCGATAACATCACTTATTCTTTAGGGTGACCACGTACTTAGAGAAGACCGGATGAAGAAACTTTATCGTTTATGAAGAGTCTTCATCACCGAGTTAGTTTTAGAGAAGCAAAAATTGAAGGTTTTTTTAATGAAAGGGCCTCGACCAACACCTTAGGAGGCTGTCGTTAGGTGGCTGGATCGAGCGCTTGATTCAGAAAGTGGTACTCCTGGATACGGCTCGTATTGACAGGAGGTTCCTTTTTTGGAGCCCTGACCGCCGGCAGTCAGTCAGCTAGACCTTGTTCCCGACATCGGTGGGACACTATTTTGTATACTTTTACATGTTCATATTAAGAAATATTTACAAATGTAATTTATATGTTTATACGACTAATGAAAAGAATATTTTATTATCATAAATATATATTAGATTGATTCGATTTAACAATAAGTATTTGCTACACTACAAGAGTTAAGAAATTATCACGGTGTCGAATTTTATGGTAACCCTACAAATTCGATGTTATTTTCTTAATCTTCATGAAAGTTTTAGAGTAAAAGTTGTCTGTTTGTCCGTGACCTTATAACAAAACTAAAGTAAGAACTACGAATACATCAATATTAGATAATATTATACTTAGTCGGGTCATAAGTTCTGTCAAAACCTTATATTTTTAATTTTCGATTACTGGCCAGAAATTCTTCGACTTATTTTAAAAATAGAACTTTCGCGCTTGTAGAAAATAAAAAAGAAATTATTTTTTATTCATTTTTAAATATGGAGTGGTCGAATAAAGAAGACAGAATCGCGGTTATCGCGTTGCACCGCTGTGGTTACGCGCCAAAAGACATTTTCAATATTCTTCAAAATTTGAAAATAACGTTACGGTTCGGTTTGTTTATCGTACTATCAAACGATACACCGAAGAGTCAAGCTTCGAAGATCGTAAGAGAAGCGGCCGACCTCGCACAGTTCGGACACATAAGGTCATCAAAGCAGTGAAGGCGCGAATCGAACGAAATCCCGTACGTAAACAAAAAATCCTAGCTCTGCAGATGGGGCTAAGCAGAACCACTGTTAAAAGAGTACTAAATGAAGACCTGGGACTACGAGCTTATCGTAAAAAGACAGGACATTTTTTGAACGAGCGTTTAAAAAAAATTAGGCTAGACAGATCCCGCGCTTTGCTACGACGGTACGCGGGAAAAAAATACCGCGAAATTCTTTTTTCGGATGAAAAAATTTTTACTATTGAAGAAAGTTTTAACAAACAAAATGATAAGGTGTATGCCCACAGCAGTGAAGAAGCAAGCGCGCGTATTGCGAGGGTCCAGCGTGGGCATTACCCTTCCTCATTCATGGTTTGGCTTGGAGTCTCATATTCAGGCGTAACTGAGGTGTTTTTCTGTGAAAAAAGTGTGAGAACTAGTGCCGAAGTTTATCAAAATACTGTCCTAACAAACATAGTGGAACCTCTTTCTCAGACAATGTTCAGGAACAGGCATTGGATATTCCAACAGGACTCTGCACCGGCTCATAAGGCACGAAGTACGCAAGACTGGTTGATCGCTCGTGGAATTGACTTCATCCGGCATGAAGACTGGCCCTCTTCTAGTCCAGATTTAAACCCACTGGACTACAAGATATGGCAATATTTGGAGGAAAAAGTCTGTGCTAAACCTCACCCGAATTTGGAGTCTCTCCGAGCATCTCTGGTTAAAGCAGCGGCAGACATAGATATGAATGTGGTGCGTGCAGCGATCGATGACTGGCCGCGTAGATTAAGGGCATGTGTTCAAAATGGGGGAGGGCATTTCGAATAATGTAAATAAAATTATATTGTACATTTAATGACCTTTCATTTCATATATAATTTTTAAATAATTGTCAAAAGGCGTATAAGTTATTACATCAAAAGTTTGTGACAGAACTTATGACCCGACTAAGTATATTAGTATGTAATATGAAGAGATTCCTAGTAGCTGTTGTGTTTATTGTTGATTACGTATATTGTACTAGCGATCTGACCCTGCTTTAGACGGGTGCCATGTTGATACTAATTTCTCCACTATTTAATGGATAGTTTTATAATGAACCTTCCTCTTTAATCACTCTTTTTAAACCTTGCCCCACATAAGAGTTTTCTCCTGTGTCGTAGTATGCGTTTACAAACATACAATTTCACACACACACCACACCCAGACTCGCAACAACAGTTTGTGGATCACACAAAGAGTTGTTCCGAGCGTTAATCGAACCGCGACATGTAGCGCGACAGCCATTTGCCTAGCCACCACGCTAACCGTGTAGTCAATATCCCTAGTCTATGCATTAAAAAAAACATATCAATATTCATTACATAGTTAAAAGATTTAAGCGTTGATACATAGGGATATAGAAGGCTACTTTCGTTTATACTATGCAGTGAGGAGGAATAGAGAACAAAAAAAAAGTCTGGTGCTGTTGAAATTTATTACTTAATTAAATAATTTTGAATATCGTTATATTAACAATTTATTTTAAATTAATAGGTTAAGTACATGAATTTATTTATCCGCCTCCTAAATTTTTAAACTTAGAAACATAATTATTTTTTTCAATGACTCCTTCATCTTCGGGTCATATTCATATGACTTCTCTCTAGGGTGAGGCAAGAGGGAGTGTCAGACTCTTACTTACTGACCAAAATCCTGCCCGTTTCCTCTTTACCTTATTTCGCTTGTCCCCAGTAAAAAAGCAGAAATAACTAAGGCAAATCTATGTGACTTTTTATAATCAAAATCTACCTGATAAAAATACTAAAATCGGCTGTAGTCACACATATACATATTTTATATCAACCAATAGTTTGGAACCTGCTTATTAAATTGTTTTTGACCTTTTCATAATTTTAGAAAATATTAAAAATACTCACTACACTAATTTACGAGAAAATATTGTTATCAAATGATTATAGACTAGCAGTCCGTTCCTACTTTGCGAGGGTGTCCAAATATTTTCCGAGTTGCTTCTCGATCTCCGCCCCTCCCCTACCCCTAAGTTTTCAAAGATTTTCTTTCATAAAATCCTTTTCGTAGCTTTAACAAACACAACAAAACTTTATCTAATTTGGTGCAGGCGTTATTGAATTATGTGTTTATCAATACATTTTGCGATTCATTTTCATATACGTTAAGATATTCATATCAAAGACATTAATTATATCATAATTTTAGACACACTT